GAACGCGATCTCTGCATGGGGTTTTGTTCGTTTGCCGGAGGACTCTCGACAGTTTCAAGCTTTCTAGAGATTTCGTGTTGTTTAGGTCAAAGAGAATCGCGTTTGTAACGAGCGACGTATTTGGACCGTCGCTAGTTACGGGATCCGAACGAACCGAACCACCCTTCTGCTCTCCCTCTCGCTCTGTCTCTCTCCTTGGTTCGTCTCTTCGCTGAAGTGTTATTTGCTCGAATCTTAACGGCTACTAGCACAGCTTTCAAAAGTTACAGCTTTTTGACCTCGGCTCGGGCGTATAAACGATCCCCGAGGGATTGTCGATTATCGTCTTTTTCGGAGTAACGGGACGAAAAGGGTTTTGTGGTACGCTCACTTATCAAAAACGTTTCGTTTCGTTTCGTCGAGGTCGAAGACGGGCCGAAGGTAAAGCCACAACCAGGAAAACGGATGTTCGAGACTCCTCGAAGGAGTGGAGACCGAAAGATAGAGATTTTCTCGGAGTCTTCGAAAAAATTGCATTAGCTCGACGTAACGAGCGCAATTGCCCGTCGAGTACCTCGAGTATTTGTTTTTCTTCGAATCGCGGTATAATCTCGCTAGCTCGAGATACGATCAATTTTCTCGACGAGCGAGATAATTATTACTTAGTAGAGTTCGCCTATCGAACGATTGCTCCGATCGATCCTTCAGACTTAATTAAATAAGTACGCGAGTACAATCGTCGTCGAGTCTACGCTGGAAGCTCGATTACAAAAACCGGTTCAGAGCTTACGAAAGGGATCTGAGAAATTGGAAGTCGAGCGGAATTAGCATATACATCGATTTTTATCTCGACGTTCGTCGAATTTCAAGAACGTGGAGAAAAGATTAGAACGAGGGAACCTTTTCTCGAGGGGGCCGACGAAAAGTTTTCGGTGGATGATCGAACGTGCAGGTAGTCGGTCGGGACAAAGACTGTGGAACGTAAAAACGCGAGAGGCGGAACGATGAAACGGCCGATAGCTCTCGTAGGTAAACGCGAAACACGCAAATTAGCTCGGAGCCCGGGGGTACAGTAGAAAAATTGTTGGCAACGAATCAACGTACGGACGATAAAATTGAGATAGACGCTCGGCGCTTATATTTAGTTAGCGGTGACAAATAGTAATTGGTTAATCGCGAGAAGAGGTAGTTGAATTCGCGCGAATAAATATTCAAGTGCCCGCGGCGAGGGAGTGATCGAATAATTCATAATTAATTGTATTCGATTCGTAATCGCTGAATAACGAGTCGTGCATCGAAAACGTAAACGAACCTAACTGGGGTGATATCGTTCTTCGATAACTCTGGTTTATCGGTTCATCGTTGACTAATTCGGTTGAAGCGGCATCGAACGATGATCGTAACGCACGTTTAATGGGCAATATTTATTCGAGCGACGTCGAGTTCGATTTTGCTGCGGGTCCCGAGCAGGAGGAGTCGGTGACGAAGAGGTGACGGGGCAAGAAATCCCTGTTCGATCGTTCGATCAAACTGTCTGGAAATGACGGGAATCTTTCGTTGAGAAACCGTATCGTGGACGACTTTCGAACGAAAACTTATTGTCTAAACGTCTAGTCGAGACGTCGGTCGTGTCGCGAGACGTATCGATATCGGGAAACTTCGTACGGACTGCGAGTCGATTTTCGCCCGTGTAGAATCTCCTCGCGCTCTATACGTTTCCTCTTATTCGTTGGTTTGACGCGATAACGAAAAGCTTTTCCCCGGAGGATCGCGGCAAACGACGTACAGAGAAAGAACGAGATAATTAAAAATATGTAAAACCTATCGGTTTCCCATCTCCCAGTCCTGCGACGCGTCGTGTCTCCGTTCGAATTCCGATATCGAACACGCGCTTTTTAAATACGTAAATCGACGGTTCTCTTTTGCGAGCTAAAAACGTTTCCCTTGGCTGGTTTCGAAACGGATTGAGCCGATCTTTAAACACGGGAGAAAAGTAGTTTCGCCTCTGGCGACGGGCGCGCATTCAATTTGTTGGAGCAATGCAACGCGGCGACGCAGCGGCACGGCGAGGTGTCGAAGTGTCGAGGAAGTCGGCCAATTTATTCCCGTTGAACGGCTGTCCGCGACTGTTGAGAATTTTCCTAACAAATTTCGATGTTCGCGAATTAGCAGTGGCAGCGTTACCGACGACCCAGCAACGCGCAGCTGGGGCTGTTAGTTTTTGCGGTGGAGAGACAATTATATTAGCGAGTTTACTCGGTGGATCGATACTGCACAGCCACTGAGTCAAGGTGAACTTCCTCTCTCCCCTGTTCTCTCTGTCTCCCTTCGATCCCTCCCCTGACCGACCCATCCTTCCTTCCATTCCTCTCTCTTCTTTCTCTCTCCATGTGTCCATCTCTGCCTTCTCCGATCGTGTTCGACCCGTGCCCGTTCTCTCTCCGCCGTCTTATTAAACTTCGACACGTGTTTCCATTTCGATCGCTAGACCCGCGAATCAAAGACTAACGAGGAAACGGCAGAACTAAAAACATACGTATCGATTGTACATTGGATTCGGCTGGTGCCGAATTACTATCATCGATCGGAGATCACGTATCCGCGAATCAATCCGCGCATCCTCGTATCCCTTTTCTCTCGCATCGTCGTACGTTCGTTATACCAGCGCATTTAGTATTTCAGAAATCCTGTTCGAAATGTTGCTGGAACGATATCCGATATCGCGTCTCGATAACGTAATCGAGTAATTAGCCAAGATTTATACCATCTATAGTTAAACGGATATTAATTTGGTAATGTAAATTTGTTAGCGGGTGCTCGACCGAAAACTCGCTAAGCGAGCTCACCGCTGAATTAAACCAAAGTTTGTGCGTTAAATCTCCGCGTTTCCCTTCGCTCACGGACATACATAATATCGCGATATTTACCCGTTTGCAAAATATCGTGTCGTTCCCGTTTCAACGTCGAAATTGTTTAAATTCGCTCAAACGCTTTTTCTACCGCGACTGTCGCCGTTCGCCTCGAGTTTCTCCGAATTAATGGTGCGAGGAGATAACCAACTTCCGAATAGTCGCCTACCGGGCATTTTTCAGCGTGCCGCCTGCGCTAAACTACACTTTGCTGCACTCGGCGTACCCGCGGATCCGTTAATTTCGTTTCGGTCGAGTGTTTTACGACATTAAGTTAAACAAACGGTGTCGATTCTCTCGACGAATCCAGCGAAATTGGTTTAAAGGGCACGCGTTGCGCGAAGAATATATCGCTGAAGCCTCAGCGAACTCGTCGCGCTAGTCGTTTATCTCTGCTACTGCTCTTCCGCTCGAAGGCTGATTCGGAGTTTACGTTTACCCGCATCCCGTCTAGGCACGCGACGCTTTACTACCTACGTTCATATGTATTTTTATCTCTATCTCGCCCCATGTCGTTCACCTTGTTTTCTTTAATTCTGTTTGAATTACGTGCTACTCCGTACGCCCGTTGATAAGACAATAAATGAATGTGCCATGCCGAGAGTTTACTCTCAAACATAGTTCGTACTTACGTTAGGTACGGATAGATCCTTCGAAGAATAGCAATTAGAAAATTGAGAGAAGACGAGCAAAGTTTACACACCGCCGTCGCCTTTTCCGTAACTAACGTTCGGAACGATGACATTTCGGTTATATATATATGTAGGTGTACGTAGTATGCACATACCGACTCTTTACCGCCGAGACAGTTTGCGATTCGTTCGATTTATTGACACTGCTAACGAATCGATACTCGAACAATTGCGACTAAACCGACGCGACGACGGGATGAAAGCCGAGAGTTTACGTTTGCCAAGATACGGCCATTAGTACATATTAGTAGGTATTATATCGAAAGCATTCGGGATTCGGATACGCGTAGCCTGGCAAACTGTTTCTTTACAGTGCTCGTCGATGACGGATTGCTCCAACAGATTCGACGCGTTCGAACCGTACGAAGACCGATGACGCGGTGTAGACAAGTACTTACGTCGGAGTCTCCGCACGCGCTTCGCCCTTCGGTTATTACAAAAATACAGGCAGGAATTCTGGGAGACCCACTGACCCACATCCTTAAACGAGCGGCCCGCGACGTCCGTCTGGACGCGTCGCGTCCTCGCATCGAACCAAGTATCAAATTTGAAATATCGATTGGCGAGATCACGCTCCCGGGACGTCGACGAAATATTAAAGAACGGAAGCCGGGCAAACGTGTTCCATACGGCTTTTCGCGAGTTCGAAACTAACGATAACGGATAAGCTATTAAAAGTCCAGATCGGTTGCCAGCCTGTAGCCAGCGTTTTCGTTCATCGAACAATGAAGCGTGCAACGAAATGAAACGGAACGAAACTGTGTGATGCGGAGGACGATGAAAACACATGACACGATAATAAATATCGAGAATATTTTCCGCGCGTAACATGTAAACGAGATGCGGCGATAGAGGATGCCGAATTAATTTCATGGCAAACGTACGTGTAATAGGTTTTAGCGAACCGTGTCGAACTCGATGAATATGCACGAGAAAAAATAAATGAAACGTGTAAGATCGCATCTCGATTCGACGGTCAATTCGTACGCATTGTTGGAATCGACTTTTCGTACGAATAACATTCGAGGAGAAATTACTAAAGAGTGACGCACGAAGAAGTCTACCATTTTTAACACCCTTCAGAATACATTGCCACCGAAGTGAGAAATAGAAAGCAAAACACTTGTCGATGCTGAACCGACCGTATAATCGATTCGTTAAAGAGTAATTGACGACGAACGAAATAATTAATCGATTACTTCTGAAGTATACGATATAGAAGAAAATGCAGGTAATAGCAATACCTACGACTGTGTTTTAAACCTCGTTGGGTCCGATTCGTTGTCCCAACGATTAAACAGCCACCCTTTAGTAGTATCTCCTCGGTGGAGCAACGAACGAAGAAGCGTAGCGTAAGTATTTGGAATTTGCATTCAAATTTCTACTTGTAGAATAGGATTAGGTAATTGACGTGACTCACCTCCGTGTCGTTCCACCACATGTGCAGTCTATAATTACGAAGGACGACGCGATCCTCGTTGATATGGTCGACGGCCAACTTGACCGAGGGCATCACGCCTCGTCCTATACGGCTCTCTGGCACGTGGCTGCCGTACGGGAAGAAACCGGCGATGTAAACGTCCCGTTTCTTAGTTCCGCCGAGGTTTATTGGCCTCTGCCCGGCACAGATGAACATCCTGCTGATCCATAGGAGGAACGCGCAGAGATAGGCGGCCGTTAACAGACCGGACCGAAACGTCCGACCAACCTTCGTGGCCATCCTTTTCTCCTTTATTCTCGGCCGCGTGCGCGCCGCTACCTACGTAATATTCGAGCTGTCCGTGTTCGAAAAGCGAAACACGACCTATCGATTGTATACTGATTGACACTTTTTAATTGGCTTTATTACCCCGGCATCCGATTACACGATCTTCGCGGCAATCTCGCCACCGGTTCGTGTTCGTACTATCTATCGCATCTCATTGTGCGCGTCTGCATCGAAAAGCGTTTCGCTGAAGCTCGCTCACGAGTTGTCGTCGCCGGCTTCGACGGCCAGCTTTAATTGACTGTATCATCATCGACGGAACAACGCGTCGCCATTAAAAACAACTGGCCGACACCGATCTTACGACGAGTCATTCGTCGTCGACGCGTACCCGCGCAATTTCATTTTTTAGCCGTGTCTTCGCGTCCGCGTCCCGTCTCCGTGTCGTCACCGCGGTAACCAATAATTACTAATTACCATACACCGGAGGAGGACGTTCCTCCAGAGTACGCGCTTTTCGACGATCTCTGTTTCTTCGTCGACGGTTGCTGCCGGTTGTCCCGTTGCCGCGACTCTTGCTTCTGGTTTCGCCTCTGCTCCTGCCGCTGCTCTCTCCTTCCCGTTGCTATTTCCATGGTCCTCTTCGCCCAAGACGACGAAACGAAACACCGTGCGACGCGAGACGAGACGAGACGAGACCCGAAATTTTTACGGTGAACTTTACGCGACGCGTTCGACGACACTACCGACGACGTTCGCGTTTCATCTCTTTCGTGACCTACCGATCCGGAATTCTTGTTCGTTCGATGCCGTTCAGTTCTCGCCGCGCAGCCACTTTAGCCAGGGCGATCGACCGCATTCGGACCGAACCTGTAACAAATATTTTTATTTTCCAAGATTAATGCTCTGAGACATCGCGCGACGTCACGTTACGTAAACGAAAATTAAGTTCGCACAAGTCTGATACACATTCTCGTGGGATCGTCGCGTCGTTTCGTATTAAACGTTTCACGTAACCCCATCTACTCGAAGTTGCTCTTCCGAATGAGAGAATAGCTGTCGGAAGTTGCCACAGTAATTTCAATATGAGACAGAAGCAACTGGTTCCTAGGTAGATGGAACGACGGTAAAGCTAACATGGAGACTACGGAGTTAAATAACTCGAGGCTATCGGGTGGGATAAGTTTGAGATACCGACGCGTTTGGATAAACCGAAGGAAAAATCTGTTGTTCCGCTGCCCTCCGGTTTTTCCCATCCCTTTCCGTTATTCTCCGCTTATGCACACAACCGTCGGACGTTGTTTCTTTGAATCGATAAAACGAGACGTCGAGCGTTTCTTTGCACGAACGAGCACGCGAGCTCTGTTTAACTGTTTCATTTTATTTAACGAACTGAACAAACGGTGGTAGGCGCATTTATACGCGAAGATTATAAAATCTGAATCTCGTTGCGTAAGTCCGCGTAGTCAGTCACCCTCGCTCTTTCGCGGAACGTGTTTTATTTCCAAAGCCGGATCACCTGGATGGACGAGCCACGCGCGGCCCCGAGCACGAATTTAAAAAATGTTAAAACAGAAAAAAAACATTTATAGAAATGGGCGAAAAAAACGAAATCCGCTCTCGAAAAAACAAAAATAACAGCATCGTCCGTGTTTATCGCTTCACGTTTCTTTATGGATCTCGACGAGTTTTCCAAACTGAATATCGACGATAGCGAAAAATACGGTCTCGCGAAATTCTAATGCCTAGCGTAGGAAAGTGCCGTAATGAACTTTTTTCATTAGAGTTAAGTGGTACGTGTCCGGAGCGGCGTAAACGCCCGGGTCTGACCGGTTATCGAGCAATACTACTTACAGCGATGAACTTCCACTACCGTCGCGCGTCCTACCCGGGCAGGGTGTAGTAACCGTAACTAGATATCGGATAGATAGGTACGTTCGTCGTCGCGTTTTTAACTTTTACCCGGCGATCGCGTCGAGCTTGATCTATTAAAAATAATTGCGCCGGGCGAACGAGGCGAGATCAGTGTCGACGACAGGCGACAAAGTTTAGAGTTTCAGAGTTTACAAGCTGAGGCGGAGAGAAGAATAGGCGAAGAATTATCGAGATCGGTTATCCGCTCGAAGCTTCTCCTCGACCGAAACCCCTCTAGTACTCTAGTCGATGAACTCGCAACCATCGTAAAGTTAAGTGTCCGGATCCTCCAAGTCTCAAGGAGCCAAGTGCCCAATTACAATAGCGGCCGCTGTCGATAACGTTCTCTCGTCTATCGATAGGGCCCGGGATCCGTGAGATACTCGCGCGATAACCCGTCCCCGATCTCTGTGCTGAACGCGGCCTCGATCGCGATCACCGTTCCGACGTAACGACACGCGTACGTAAAATAAGGAAAACGTGTGGGCAGCAACGTGGAGAAACAGTTTCCTGACGTTCGCGTTAATTGCACTGATAGGTATACGTATGTACGGGCGTACCGAATATAGGGCGGACGCGTAAGTTCTTGCGGTTGCGATGGTCAGACGGAGCGCGGGTAATTAGCTACTGTTTCAAAGTTAATTACGTAAATGGGTAATTAACGAGAACGAGGCGCCGAATATCTCTAGTTCTAATTCAAACAGGACGTGAAGAGACGAATGGAATGGGTGTACGCAGTGGTTGATACATTCGCCCAATTTCAGAGGGTCAGCGTCCCGTTTCGGGTTTCAACTTGCCTCCTTGCTTTCTTCTCCCTTCGTTCGCTCTCGACTATCTACTTTTCAATTAGCGTTCCTTTGCTCCTGTTGCTCGGCAACGTACTTTTTTTAAATAGCTTCGTTAATTATTCACCGACCTTTCTTACGCTTTTTCTCGTTTCAATCTTTCTCGGTTGCGATTCGCCGTAGTCTCTCTTCTCCGCTGCGCGTCTTCCTTCGCACACGCCGAAGCCTGATTTCCTTGTTACGATCTTCCGGTCGCTCGGTGGACTTCCGCTGATTCGAGCGATCGTCGCGAGGAAAGGAACGGGAAGAAAAGAGAGAAGGTCGATCGACCGAAGCGACGAAGGTTCGTATAATAAATTCTCATACAGTATTCAACGCATCGGCTAGAGCGTGTCGCGACAAGGTTGAACCTTGGCATAGTGACACGATTCTCGTATCGCGCTACTAGCTAGTAACACGCTAGCCCACCGGTGACCGTGAGCGAGACTCGGAACTCGGAATATAATCGTCGCGGCGACGTCGGCGGCGGGCGGTTCGAGCTTGATACGCTGGCCACCGGCTGGCGTGTTCCCTTCGGTTCATCGCTTGATCGATGGACCTCTGCTACTTTAGAACCGGGAAGGTCGTTCGCTTTCACCTTACTCGAGTGAAACTACCGTGGAACACGAAGAAACACGAAGAGAACGGTGGCGTGGCCGCGTCGCGATCAACTCGCCACCAGCCGCGTCGGACTCGCGTGTCGAGGAGACGCTTAGCGACGTCTCTTCGTCCCGTGCGTGCAAATTCGCAACGCTGGACGCACGATCGCGACGATGTTTGCCAATCTCTCGCGAACGTCGAGCACCAGCGTTTAGTACGAGAGTCGATCTTCCGTTACGACGTTACGGAAGATGGAGACGGGGATGAGTCGCGAGAGAAACTGGATCGAGCTCGCTCTCGGGAGTTAGGCGTTCTACTTTTCGAGTGCGGCATCCGACGATGCGGGGGAGTGCAGTAGTTGTTTTCTGTTAAAAATCCGACCGCTCGCTCTTCCTTGTATTGTCTTTTCCGTCCTATTCGCCTCGCGGAGAACTCGAATCGCGACGCGACGCGAGGTTCGCGCGAAACATCGAAAAAACGCTTAAACGTTTACCGTTAACGCGATTCAACCTAGCGGAAAACTGGTTTTTCGCTTTTCAGGAAATGCCCGTTTCGTCGCACGGCTTAATTGCCCTGCTTACTCGTTTCGTTTCTTTCCAGTCCCCGCCAGCTTCGATTCCTTCTGTCTTCAACCCTTTTTTCTCTTCGCAACCGCGGAGTCCATAATTTGGTCCTACGGACATGCTCGTCCAGTTCGAAAATCCTTTTTCTTCATTCGTGTACGAATTCGTACAAATACGAACGAATTAAGAACCTGACGATACGATAGCTACGGCATCCTTTATTCGCGATTTCGGTATCTCTCGAACGTTAGGATTAAACACGTTACGTCTCGGAGTTTCGCCGTATCGCAAAACTGTCTCGACGACGACCGTCTTAATCCCTCGAGAACGAATCGTACAATCCGACGCCAATATCGACAAAGAAATTTCAGTTCTCATCGTTATTGGGAAATTTTTCCGACTGCTGAAACCGTCGCCGAATCGATAGTTGGAAGAGAGAAATTTAGTCGCGCCTTTAGACAGTATGTACATACGTTATAAAGCGTAATAATATAGTATGTACCTAGATAGGTACGTACGTACACTGCATCAATCATTACTGTATCGCGTTCGGCGTCGCGATCGATGAATAAAAGTTTGTTTCAACATCGCTTAAGGATGTATTGGCTATACAGTCAATCCCAAAAGTTTATGTACTTTAGAAAAACGCATTTCCTATAATTAAAAAAAAATCAGACGTCGAAAGAACAATGCTAATAATAAATAGCTACGTGCTAAAAAGTATATAAGGAAATATCCAATTAAGTATTGACGCTGACGACAATTGCGAAAAATGCTTCAAATAAAAGTTATTTTCCTTCTAACTTCGATATTTAAACAGATACGTATGATTATTTGGCATTTTATTGATGTTGACAAAATCCGACCATCCCAGCGTCGAAACGGCGAACTTTTGACAAAAAATTTCATTTTTCCTTAATTACTCCTAAACCGTTGAATCTACGGGAAAATTGTATAGGACCTTTCTTGTAGAGGACGACGAGATCTACAATTTCCATGTAAAAANTTTTTACATGGAAATTGTAGATCTCGTCGTCCTCTACAAGAAAGGTTATATGCAATTTTTCCGTATGTCCAACTGTTTGGGAGTTATTGGCAAAAAACGAAAATTTGGAAGAAATTGAAGGGGTACCCCTTGGAAAAATCTCGGAAAAATCGAAAATTTTTTTTTGTTGTTTATTATTAGCAATGTTCTTCCGACGTCTGATTTCTTTTTAAAAAATGCATTTCTAAACTGCATAAACTTTTGGGATTGACTGTATAGCCAATACATCCTTAAGCGGTATGTGATCAGGATTGTGCTTATGTTCATCGAAACAAGAGAGATTGGCTAGAGTACTCGGAAGGCGAACGAGTTTTTCCATCCTTCTTCCGATTAGTCAACGATATTCGGTTCGAAGTTGAATCGAACATTTTGCCTGACCGCCGCGGCCCGTGGCGTGCTTGAAATCGTGCCAAACGCATACTCCCGCGCGTCTACGTACGTGTACGTGCACTAATTGTAGGTACATACGATGTTTACAGGTTGTAATCGAGGTATTAATTAACCCAAATCCGGCGAGTGGTGGAAACACGGAGGGCCGGCCGTTGGCGAGTCGAATCGAATCGGCTCGAATCGCGTCGAGGATTGGGGAAAAAATCGAAAAAAGAGCTTTCTTGAAACTTGAATAGCCGCAAACTCGTTTAACGGAATCGAGTTAACCCTGTTCGAGCACCGTCGAGCGCGGTTTACATACCGCCCTATACACGGAGTTCCTCTTTCCCATCGACGATGTTCGTTGTCACAACAGCGACAAATAAATATTTAAGCGATATCGTTGATCGATTTTACGGTTCCGCCGCGACGCGACGTAGATCGACGGTTCACAGACGTCGAAACGAGCAAGGATTTCGCACGGTACGAATCGGTTACGTCTCGAGAGTTACTGAGGACGTAGCTAGCTGAAAACGAAAGCACCTAGGAGCGACC